TATACTTCAGCACTTCAGTGTGAAAGGATTACCATTGTCGTTGATGAAGATGCTGCAGATCGGACGATAAAAGATATCAAGAAATTGTCAAAAAATATTTTCAAAAAGTTGTCACCACATATTAAGTTGAATGTCATTAAAGATGGCGATTCATTCACTATCACTTGTTCCTTCCCTTTGATTCTATCTGAGCAGTTAATTACAGCTGCTCTTAATAATATTGATGTATTGAAAGAAAACAAAGTGAAGAGATTAACCATTGGATACTGCACTGTGTATGAGGTAAATAGACTATTTTATGAACTGATATTTATTATTAATGACAGGTAAAGGACACCTCCACTGCTACTACAACAGAAATAGATGAATACACCTCATCATTACCAACTAGTAGTGGTTTAATGAAACAATTGATGCTGTCATTGAGTGTACAACTGATTAATAGTAAAGAGGAGGTTACTGCTTTAAATGGGGTATGACTATATAAGCTCTTCTAATAATATTTACATGAAGTAGCATGAACAAATGAACTATGATTTGCATCAATTCTTAATTTATTCATTTATAGGAAAGTATGACAATGAAGAAAGAAGTGGAGTCATTAAAGGAAACATTGGACACTAAAAACAGGATGCTGACTGCCAGTATAGGAGAGAGTGAGAGGTTTAAAAAAATAGCAGAAGAAATTGAAAAGCAATCAAAAGCCAAAGGAGGTTTGTGAAAAATTTTAAGAATCCAAGAACTATAGAATGATGGTTAGTTGAAAGCAAGCAAGAAATAGAATTATTGCAAGAGAAAATATCAAGAATGAGTGTACAACAAATTGAAGATTCAAAAGAAATGGTGGCAATGAAGAAAGAAGCAGAATTATTAAAGGAGGCACTGGATGCTAAAAACAAGATGCTGAGAGTCAGTAGAGGAGAGAGTGATCGGTTTAAAAGAAAAGCAGAAGAAATTGAAAAGCAATCAAAAGCCAAAGAAGGTTTGTGAAATTTTTTTTAAATTCAAAAACTATAGTATGGTCATTAGTTGAAAGCAAGCAAGAAATAGAATTATTGCAAGAGAAAATATCAAGAATGAGTGTACAACAAATTGAAGAAGCAAAATCATTGAAGGAGGCACTTGAAAAGCAATCAAAAGCCAAAGAAGGTTTGTGAAAAATTTTAAGAATCCAAGAACTATAGAATGATGATTAGTTGAAAGCAAGCAAGAAATAGAATTATTGCAAGAGAAAATATCAAGAATGAGTGTACAACAAATTGAAGATTCAAAAGAAATGGTGGCAATGAAGAAAGAAGCAGAATTATTGAAGGAGGCACTGGATGCTAAAAACAAGATGCTGAGAGTCAGTAGAGGAGAGAGTGATCGGTTTAAAAGAAAAGCAGAAGAAAATGAAAAGCAATCAAAAGCCAAAGAAGGTTTGTGAAAATTTTTTTAAATTCAAAAACTATAGTATGGTCATTAGTTGAAAGCAAGCAAGAAATAGAATTATTGCAAGAGAAAATATCAATGAGTGTACAACAAATTGAAGAAGCAAAATCATTGAAGGAGGCACTTGAAAAGCAATCAAAAGCCAAAGAAGGTTTGTGAAAAATTTTAAGAATCCAAGAACTATAGAATGATGATTAGTTGAAAGCAAGCAAGAAATAGAATTATTGCAAAAGAAAATATCAAGAATGAGTGTACAACAAATTGAAGAAGCAAAATCATTGAAGGAGGCACTGGATGCTAAAAACAAGATGCTGAGTGCTAGTATAGCAGAGAGTGAGAGGTTTAAAAGAATAGCAGGTATAATAATGTCACAGTGATTAGTTTACTTATTATTAGCTGAGACAAAGCAGTTATTACAAGAGAAAGTATCACGTTCAACAGAAAGTGAAAAAGTTAGTGAGAGAATTGAACAATTGTTATAATAATAATTATAGGAAAATGAAAAGTTAAAAGAAATAAAAGAATTATTAGAAAAGCAGCTTGCTTTATTTCAATCTGAAAAAGAAGGTATATGCACATGTACATGTATATGTGATTATAAAATAATACAT